GTTAACATTTTCTATTAAGTATTTTTAAAATATACAGTGCACGTATGCAGAAATGTTTTTTTTCAGCTTAAGGCTGTGGGCAGTTGATTGGGGGGGGTTGGTGGTGAAGCCAAAAACTCTTGTATCAGGGATGAGATGTGTAACAATATATTCCAGTTCTCAGGTAAGCATCCTTCCAAACAGGCAGCAAAATACCCTGGCTGTAACCTCCCTCCTTTCCTCCCTCCCTTCCTGAGCATTTCCACTTCAAGCAGCATATTTAATTATGTAGCAATGATTTAATGTAAACTTTGAGGAGATGAAACCCAAGTTTCTGTCCTCGCTCCCGTGACTGCTGAGACACATCTACACAGCAGAATGTGTCTCTGATTCCTTGAGCTCTCTAACCCAGAGGCATTAGCTGGCGAGTAGTCCGACAGCTGAACTGGCCTGTGGGAGTCATTCCCCAACTTCACCCCATTTTCAAGCACGGCCTTTCCTCTTTCTCACAGGTTAGCAATAGTGTGTGCTGTGGTGCTCCGTTCTAGGTAGCCGTGGAAAAAAAGCTGACAGGCACAACACAAGCAGGGAGGCAGGAACACGCAGCGCACTGAGAAACCGGGGGGGCACAGAGGTCAGGGGACAAGAGAAGAGGGTGAGGGAGGCTGAGGACCTGTGGGTGCTGAACCCATGAACTAGCCAAACCTGTTAGCGCTGTATGGGTTTACCCAAGCTATAAACGAGAGCCAGCTTGGGTCCAGCAAGGTTTCTTAGTGAAAGCACAGCACCACTTGTGCTAGGGCTAGCCATGCTGTTTCCAGCCCAGTGTGCGAGCACAAAAGCCCATGTTAAGCCTCTGCACCATGTTCCTCGGCACTCCAGGGTTTAGATGGGCTCTTAGCTTGAACGTGGGGCCAAACTCGATCAAGGTTTCCAGCTGTGCTGGATCAGCACTGGATGCCTTGTGCCAACCCACCCCACAATTATCTTAATTAAAATTGGCTTCTGGTCTGACAGGTCCTGATGAATGTCAGGTGTCTCAGTAGTTAAGAACCCACCACCTGCTTCCCACATTACCCCAAAATAACAAATGCCAACTTTTCCATTTGTCCCAGTACTGGGACATCGCCACGTGGCATCAGGCCTGCTTCCCAATCAGACAAGGGAAAAACAGCTCTTTAAGCTGATCATTCCTGTCTAATTTTTGAACTGTAATACAAAAGACAAGGGAGGATGAAACCTCCTACTCTTGGCAGGTTTGATTCTAGTCCTTCTCCCCCACCACCCACCCGCCCCATGCACACTCCTAGGGTGACCAAAATCCACATTTATTTTTATGATCAATCTCCCTTCCAAAATGTCACCTAGTTCTGGTTGTGCTGAATTTGAGTGAACGTTGTCTTTTTCCACTATCCCCTACAGACCACACGCAGGCACCTGCATCCTGCAAAAGTCTGATTTTAAAGCAATGCTTTGAGATTTCCAACAAAAAGTTTAGGAGGAGGTATTACTGATGCTTCTTGGCATTACCGTATGTTATGAAATGTGCACCGGCACCAATTTTGAATTACAGTATTGACTTCTGCATTTTACTCTGTACGCATCCCCCCTTCTTAAGACCTCATGACAGATGCACTTGAACTTAGGAGGCAGCTGTATCTTTAACTACAATATTTTAATTTTCAGTTTTCATTTTCTGCTAAAACAGAAGCAGCCTTCAAAGATTTAGCCAAATTCTGGCCTCTTAAAATTCAGTAATAAGATCACACTGGTTTTGACCAGCCAGTCATCTTAAATTAAAACTTTTTGCCCAATGCGGCCTTAACTAAAAAGAAATAATTTCAGAAAATGGATTATCCCATTAAGATAATACAAAACAAATAGATGATTTATTAGCAATCTCTCCCAAAACTCATTATTTAGTAAACTTTGAACGGCTGTTCACTACAGAGTGCTACGGCCTGCCTTAGTCAATCATTTAGCTTAGTATTCAGTTTTGAAAAGTGACTGATAACAGCTGTTTGAGGGGAAAAATATACAAGCCTGTAGAAGGCAAAAGTAGGATAATCTGATCACTAGAATGGTTTTCTCATGAACTTCACCACGCACTATTCGCTATGGCCAGAGGAACATACAGTTGCTTTTCTTGCACCTTCAGATATAACTGAGCACGCCTGCAATTTACCTAAACCTTCCCCCATCTTTCCCTGAATGAAGCCCGTTCCCTGGTTTCATTAGCACGCAGTGCAAACGAGTTCCACGGACCAATTACGCCGCATGTGAGAAGGCGTTTCCCTGTGCTTCGTATTTTCCACCTTCCAGTTAAGTTCTTTAGCTATACAATAAAAAGCATAGAAATGGTGGCTCAGCCTTTCATTAATTTACATATCTCTAACACTTTCCTGCTTAATAATCTGCTTTCTAAAATGGATGTTCTCATTTTTTTCCCCAAAAAGTGCTCTTCATAAAAATTTTCTTCAATCTTTATTTCACCCTTCTCTGAATCTTCTTAGCCTGCATTAGTTTTTCTCAGAGGTTATAGTAACTTTGAAATCATTCCAGAGATGAATTTACCACCAGAAACATAGTATTTCTGTTATGCTCCATTCCATTCTCAGTAATCCCATCAACATTCGTTCTTCTGACCATAACTTTATAGAGCATTCCCTTAGGTACAGTGATACACAAGGCTCTGCTCTGAGCCGACGCAGAGAAAAATCTCATTTTTTTTTTGCAAGAAAATCTGCATTTATTTGTCTCAGTGCTTTATGCTTATCCAAGTCTGCCGCTCCATCATCTCCTCACCCTGTCAGTTCGAGCTGTAGCGCCTGGTAGCATCCCCGCTGACTCACCAAGCTCAGGAGCTATAGCAGAAAATGTAGCCAATGTTGCTGTGCCAGCAGCCCTTCTTCTTCTCAAGTCACGAATGCATTATGTAAGGTCACTCCCAATACAAACCGCCAGCGTTCACCTTTTCACTTTATACCCTTTCTCCTTGTTTTTTGGTCCCTCAGACAGTTTTACACCTGCCACAACATTACACTTCTTATTCCAAAGGCTTCAAAAAATAAAATCATAATAAACCCCCCAAATATATTTAAATCAATCAGTTCTTTATTTGTTGCCTTACCGAGAATCTCAGGTAACGGTAACAAAATAGCAGAACAACTTTCCTCTGAAAAAATCGGTCTTGCACACTACTATGTAAGTTGTTGGGTTTACTTTTAGTTCTGCTTTTAACTCCGAAGTCTACTCCGTGCTCACATGAGCAGCCTTTTTAGCAAGCACACTAAAAGATGCTCCCTTGGAATCCTTTCACAGAGCAGACCCTTTTTGAAAATGCAAGTTTATGGGTTCTCGGTGCTGAGGTGGTCAATTCATTCCCAAAGCCCTTCCGAACGCCCGAGTTCATTCCCGTCAGGGGAGGGTGACTCATGTCAGTTGGCTGCAGCAACTCTTTTGACATGCCAAAAATCCATTAGCTTCATCAGCAGAAAAGAGCTGACTGGTTACCTTCCCATTATCCTTTGGACTGAACACTAAGGCAAAGAAATGTTCACGTTTTAACATTTTCATCTTTTGTAATTTTTCTTTAAATTCCAGATGACCCAGCATGCATATTTCTCCTTGGTCTTCCCATTTCCAATAAACTGCAATGATTTGTGCTTACATAGCTTTATATATTCACCTTAAAACAAACTATTTAGGATGCTAACATGTTATTTGTGGCCATTTATGTTCCTTGGTTTGGGGGGGTTGGTTGGAGGAGGGTGTGTCAAGTTTTATTTTCAAAAGTCTGAAACAGGCTTTAGCTTAACTAAACCGTTAAACCTCACAGACATGCATGACGTGCTTTGTAACTTACTCACCTTGGCCAGAAGCACGCATATGTGAAGTCAACCTGTAACACCGATCTCTGAAGTCCACAGATGTGCTAATCTAAATATATACACTAGGTTATTATGTCCAACGCCTTTCAGGTACAGCCCAGCGGATGGATGCTCATACCATGTCCTGTGCATCAGAAGCTCACACCCATCCATCCGACGCGGATGAATCACGATTGCTGCTGAGACACGTGAGCAAGAACCCAACGGAACCTGTGTGAGAGAGACTCCATTCACATTAACTTGCTGGTACGGTAAAAAACAGAGAAATCAGGGCAGAGCAAACAGTCCTTCTTGGGTAGAAATTTCTAAAAGGTTCCCAAGTTTGACATGCAGAAAAACGCATTACGCCTTTGTTTAGATTCTCAACTTCTTTAGAATAACCTAGTAACAAATTACCAAAACCACCTTAAAAACCCACTTGAGAATACATTTCCCAGCCCATCCACAGTTATGCCTCCCATCTCCTGATCTATCAAAGGCGGAGGCAGCAAACCCATTGAGCGGATTCAGTCCCATTTGCTTCCCCAGACTTTGGCAGAAAGAGGCACTCTTCCAACTAGGTAACTGAAGCCAATCTGTACCCTCCTTTTTCCACAGCTGACACCCTAGACAGTGAAAGTCAAATTCAGTGACAACTGTAAAAAAAAAAAAAAAAAAAAAAATGTCTGAGCTGGGGAAGAACATAGTGGCGAGAGCGGTGAATGTGAAAGTGAGTATCACCTCCAGCTAAAATGGACTGCAAGAGCAGCCTTTGGTTCATTCAAGGCCCGTCATACTGACGAGCTACCAAGCCCTACAAAGTAGTGGCCCTTGCAAAGTGCTCAGACAGAAGCCTCCTCTCTTCATCTCGCCAGCTACCGAAGTCTGAAACTACCTCGGCGGTTTACTGAGCATAAACCAACGAAGCATCAGATCACCGTGGAGTCTGCGCTTGCAACGACTGTCTGTGTACTACAGTTTTAGAATGAGTTTATGCATGGCTACACATCTGGGAAAAATAAAAAATATATACGTTTACTTAGCACACAAATATCAGAAATATCTCTGCAAATACTTGTACCAGATGCCTGCAGGCTATGAACATGAGACTTTCTTATTTTCTATGTACACAAAGGCCAGAGTCAAAGTTAATTTTCACTTTTAATAAGCTCATGATTCTTTGTTATTCAATACTCTGTAAAAAGGTATTACAGATTGATAGATTATTGCAGTGACTTCTAAAGAACATGGACAGCCAGGAGGCTGAAACTACAGTATCATATACATTATGTAGTCATTAATATTATCTACTACAGCATGAAGAAAAATACTTTTAAAATAAACAATATTTAACTGAAAACATAGAAATGGAGCTCTCTCTCTTACAGTATGGTTACATATCTATATTCCAAGAATAACATTTTAAAAAAATGCTAGATCTTGAAAAGTCATAGATAAAAAGAGTCATGATGAAGATGAACCAGTTTTGCCCAGAAATGCTATAATGAGCAGACTGCACAGTTTTTCAGCAAATCCTAGTTTTGCCAAGCTTCAAGAGGCAAAAGCCTGAAATGTGAAAGCTTCCAAATTGTCTAGCTAGTCCACTCGTCCTGCTCTGGAAGGCCCCGTGACCCACACTGCTTTAAGACAGCGTGTCACCACAACTGTTCTTCGCTGACATGAATGCCATCGGGAAGAGACGATCCAGGTCCTTATGATGCCAGGCCTAACAAAAAGCCTCCAACAAATCCACTGGACACCACGATGTTCTGTTTGATAAATTCTGTTGACTGAGAAGAAAAATGATATTTGTAAAGAACCGAGTCAGTTGTGTCCAACTGTAACATTTAATACTTCTCACAACTGCCTGGAAACAAGAATACTAAAATTATGGAGGGAGGGGAAGCAACGCGTTTAAAAACCTGTAACGCTAGGTGGCAACTGCTGGCATCAATGGAGTGAAAACTGGCTCTCAGCTGTCTTTAACAATGTATTTAAAATACAGAGGAATTGTCCTAGCCATTTCATGCCAATACCACTCTTGTTTTGATTAAAACAAGACAGATGTTTTATAAACTCCCTTGGCAAAAAATCATAAGCGCTACCATCACTTAAAATTTTAATCACATGGAAAAGGTTTTAAAAAATACTGGGTTTTGCATGACTAGATCATTGAAAAAGAAATACACTTCACTCTATTAGGCACCAGTTTCCTAACAACTTAATGCTACAAAACACACTTACTTATGATGACATTTGTATACAATATTTCATTAAGTAATAGCACAGGGTATAACATGTTGTATCAAACATGTGCCATTTCATAAATCCTCCACTTCAAACACTTCAGATAGGCTAGTGCACAATTAGAAGAAAGTAACATGGGGGGGGGGGGGGGGGGGGGGAA